TTAAACTGTCTTTATTTGTAAAACATGGGATGGAACTACGAAATAACATGTTGAGTGGAAATTCATAATTTTAATTACCTCACCCTAGAAAGCCCTCATGATTATCACCGATTGTTAAATGAATGTTATATTTATATAATTTTTGGTGTATCTCCCAATCTGTAAATTCTCACCCACTGTATTTATCTGAACTTGTATATGGGCCGATGGCCTTTGATACAATAAACATCTTTGACTTTGACTAAAGGTGGGGGTAACTGGAAGCAAACGTATGAAGCATTGGAAGCATAGGTGGGGGGAGGGAGGGGGGACTGGAAGTAAAGGTAGGAGTAACTGGAAACAAAGGTAGGGGTAACTGGAAGTAAAGGTGGGGGGAACTGGAAGCAAAGGTAGGGGTAACTGGAAGTAAAGGTGGGTGAAACTGGAAGTAAAGGTGGGGGTAACTGGAAGGAATGGTAGGGGTAACTGGAAGGAATGGTAGGGGTACCTTGAAGCAAAGGTCTGGGAACTAGAAGCAAACGTAGAGGTGACTGGAAGCAATGGTAGGGGTAACTGAAAGCAATGGTAGTGGTAACTGGAAGCAAAGGTAGGGGTTACTGGAAGCAAAGGTTGGGGAACTAGAAGCAAAGGTAGGGGTGACTGGAAGTAATGGTAGGGGTAACTGAAAGGAATGGTAGGGGAAACAAGAGGCAAAGGTAGGAGTACCTGAAAGCAAAGGTTGGGGAACTAGAAGCAAAGGTAGGGGTAACTGGAAGCAATGGTAGGGGTAACTGGAAGTAAAGGTGGGGGGAACTGGAAGTAAAGGTGGGGGGAACTGGAAGTAAAGGTGGGGGTAACTGGAAGCAAAGATTGGGGAACTAGAAGCAAAGGTAGGGGGAACTGGAAGCAAAGGTAGGGGTAACTGGAAGCAAAGGTAGGGGTTACTGGAAGCAAAGGTAGGGGTAAGTGGAAGGAATGGTAGGGGTAACTGGAAGCAAAGGTAGGAGTAACTGGAAGGAATGGTAGGGGTAACTAGAGGCAAAGGTAGGAGTACCTGGAAGCAAAGATTGGGGAACTAGAAGCAAAGGTAGGGGGAACTGGAAGCAAAGGTAGGGGTAACTGGAAGCAAAGGTAAGGGTTACTGGAAGCAAAGGTAGGGGTAAGTGGAAGGAATGGTAGGGGTAACTGGAAGGAATGGTAGGGGTAACTAGAGGCAAAGGTAGGAGTACCTGGAAGCAAAGGTTGGGGAACTAGAAGCAAAGGTAGAGGTAACTGGAAGCAATGGTAGGGGTAACTGGAAGCAATGGTAGGGGTAACTGAAAGCAATGGTAGGGGTAACTGGAAGGAATGGTAGGGGTGACTGGAAGCAATGGTAGGGGTAACTGGAAGCAAAGTTAGGGGTAACTGGAAGGAATTGTAGGGGTAACTGGATGCAAAGGTGTGGAAGCAAAGGTAGGAGTAACTGGAAGTGAAGGTTGGGGTAACTTGAAGCAAAGGTAGGAGTGACTGAAAGCAATGGTGGGAAGCACTGGAAGCATCGGTAGGAGTAACCGGAAGCAAAGGTAGGAGTCCGTAACAAAACGAGCATGTAGTCACCTGACATCCATTGTACATGCGTGTTTCAACATATATGCTTTAGATTCGAAAGATGGAGTCAAAGCGCAACCAGAAACGGGTGCAGGTTTCAAAACGTTTAATCAAACGTCGTCGGCGTCCATCAACGTTCAGACGCACGTCATCACAGGAGCGCACAGCGAAGGACTCCCTCGATGTTCAGGATGACATTGCCGAGACGTGTGCAGCTGTCTTTGGAATCAAGCGCAAAAACCCATATGCGCATATGCCCTCTCCGGACGCGAAGAAGACGGTCCAGGGGACCTTCTCCCAGGGGACAATTCCTAAAATACAGAGGATGTACGTTGGTTTTGTTTATGTTTCTATAGCACCAAAGTTCGATATCATTCGTTTGCTAAGGAGAGTCTGGATTTAGGACAGTTTGCTGGTTCAGGCAATTCTGACATTCAGCACTTTATTAGACTACGAACGCAAGGTTCAGTCACTGCAGGGCAAAAGAAATGTTCACTCCTCCATGTCAGAATGATGAGATCTGATTGGTTCACGTGATCTTGCTAAAATACTATGTATCCCGCCTGAGAGGGAAATAAATTTCTGAGCGGGAGAATAAATCTCTTATACCCCTCTTCGACGCAACGCTTTTTACGAGACAATGAAAATCATATGACACAACACGAGTTAACCTCAGCTCAATGGAACAGCTCTTTCTCTCAATTTTGAATTTACTTTAATTCTTAAATAGATTCGTTATGGCAGTATCACTAAAGGTACATGTGGTTTTATACGTTCCTCGTTGGGTTTTATATAACTTCGACTCCTGGTATAAAAGCTAACAAGGGACGCATAAAACCCCATGTGCCCCGAGTGACACTGCTACAACTTACAGTCTACACCCATGATTTTGGTGGATAAAAATGAACGAACGAGAAACAGTTATTCGATGGTGATGTATTTGACATCGGTATGATAGTTGTGGTTTTGAACTTAAGTTTGCAGTGATTCGGCGATTGTTTTCAGCCTAGTAATGTTTCCACAACGCTTGTAAGTGTATACTTTCTTTTGTCTGACAGTTTATATAAATCTAAATAAATGTAACAATAGCGACAGTGATTCTCATTCTGACAAGGTCAAGTCAGTCGGTAACATGGGCATGATGTGCAAACCTCTTTTTTTCAAAATCCTGGATCCACCTCTGGTGTTTGTTTAACCCTTGTTTATTCAAACATGTACTTAATTGACTTCTCCTGACATCCTGAACGAATCTCCGTGCTGCAGCTCCCGCCACCTCAACCAACAATGCACCTCAATGGCCTACACAGCTATCGTAGCCTCCAAGAATCTGCCTACAACATACTGGACGCCGAAGTTCATCGATCGCCTCGTCGTTACCGCAGACCGACTTCACCATCAATCCCTCATCGACAGGAACTGGAAGCCGGGAAAAACTCAGAGACTCGCTGTGGATGAAGTACAGGAGTTCCCGCGCGACACGCGCTCTGACTGGAATTTCAAGTAAGTTCAGACTCGGAGCATAACACGGCAGTGGTTAATCCAAAAATGCGCATGTCCGGAAGAAATCACCTGGAACAGTACCGTCCGGATTAATTGGTTTTACTGTATTTGAGAGTAGTTTGGTGAAGAGAGGTTGAGAAAGGCTTCAGTGTTTTGTTGGAGTGTTTTGATAGTTAAATTGTTATCTCATCGTCACTGGGAGTCCAGGCTAATTGCCAGTGTCATGCCAATTTGGAAAAATTCATTACTTTATTCGGATTTGTGAACGGTAGATACACAGAGACGGGGACCACTAATACCTGGCGCGACCAAACGGTATCAACGTTCGGGTTATTATTTTCTTTCTTAAATACACAGAGTCCAGTGTATAGATGTATTTAACATTGCATTTAAAACAATAATACCTCTTCCTCTTCATATCGGTGAAAAGCCAACTTCACAAAGCCATATATTTGTTATAACTATATATTAACATGATTTGGATTTTTAAAAATTCAAATTTGTGAATTTTTACTGACATATTCTGGTGATTTGGGAGCCGAATATCGGCTTCTGAACAGGTTTTGGTAATAAATCCAAAGGGTCGGTGATCGACATGCTTCTTTTGAGTACTACAGCTCCACCAGTATTGAATCAAATTGTGTGTACAGTTCCTAAAAACCCATAACTGCACCAATAAGAGTTTTCGTGTATTGACCAGTCATTTATTACAAGACGGGTAGGTCAGAGCTTTTATCATGCGCTAATTATGTACTGGAAATAATGACCCTCCCCTAATGCTTGTCATATTTTTTGATGACCCAACATCCTTGTACATTTTTTTCAACCAAATATGTGTCCATTTTTATTACCCTTCCCAAGAGACTGTCATATTTTTGGGTCACCCTCTCCTGATTCCCCCATGTAATACATGACGGGTGGCTTATCTCTATGACCAGGGTGCAGCCTACCAAGTACTGCCATGGACTGGTGATGCCCCAAACCGAGACACAGAGGCAGAACCTGAAGGACATGTGCGGCATGTCGCTTCAAACAGCTCTAGAGGAATGCTATGAGACCAAGGCCGACGGCTGCCTCGTTACAGTCGGGGTCTTCTCCACAGCCGTCATCAAGGACCCAGTTGGCCGCCCGTGCGTCTTTGACTCCCACAGCAACAACGGACGTGGATGGGGCGGGCGTGGGGGTGCGTCCCTCTACAAATTCGACTCCATGGAGCACCTGTGCAAGTACTATGCACAAAAGCACGGGAAGGCGGAAGTCTTCAACGTTGCTGGGCTCGAGGTAGAGAACCTCGAGCCAAACAAATTATGCCGGTGATCAGGTAAACACGAAGATTGCACTTATTGTTAAGTCGCATCAGTTGCATACGTGGGGAAACAATAGACAATGAGCATTGCTAAATTATTAGTCTTGAAAATAATTTCACTTGGTTTTTAATTACTACTGATTTACAAAATTGTAAATAATAAATAATTTTGACTGACATCTTCCCAGGTTCATAGATTTCCTGAATATTAGAGAGCATATTATTAGTTATGGTGTCTTTACCTGCAGCATACTTTGTCATATTAGATGAGCAGAAACATATTGGGCGAGGCATGAGCTTACCTTATATGACGCCGTTTACTGCAACTAAAGACACCATAACGAATTTATCATACCGAAAGGTTTACGTTAGCTGGTATGTTTATCGCACATGGCATGTCAAAATGAAAACTTGCCACTTACAACCGGTGTGAATGACAGGATCAGTAACACAGGTCCAGGCATAATAAATGTAGTTCTCAATGTGTCCATGTTGTATTTATATATATGGTTTCTGAAAAATGGTATTTTGTGATAATTTCTTAAAATAAGTTAAAAAACAACACGTCCTGTTATGTAGTTACACTTTTAGAATGATATAAATGTAACACCACAGTGACCACTAAGTGAACAGCGGTCAGGTGTCAGACTTGCATCAGTCAGTAAATGTCATATATTTTACGAGCGCTTAATTTATTTAATCATCGGCACTTTATATTCAGAGTAAGTTCCCTTGAAAGGGAAGTTATTGCGAATGAAATTCGAGAGACAGTTTATCAAAAGTTACGATTAATTGGTCCTTTATGTAATTATGTCAACAACAAAAATGTATTGTGTTGTAACTAGTAAGCCCCGAAGAACATTTCTTTAATGAAAAGTGAAGTGGTTATTTTCAAATATGAACGAATGCCTCTTCATGTAAATAATGTCTCCCGTAGGCGGAAGCACGTGGTGCCGATCAAAACATTGCAACACACGTGTTGACGTTTCAATTTTATCAGACTATTTGGGATTATATCTTCGTTTGAAACAAACAACAAGGAAATGAGGTGATACTATATTGTGTGTGTCAATCAAACATACTTGTTTGAGTATCAATTTCCAGGAGGCTTGCTCCAAGTAACACTGATAAGTTACTAAAATATAAAATTAAAAGCATACAGCTGTAAGCGGTATTACTTCAATAAAAACGTGTATTCTTTTCTTGTCAGTTTCAAATGGAGGTAGGGGTAATTCCACTTTAAAAATATTCCAGAAACTATAATAGAAAAGTTAACGTGTACACTTACAAGTAGCTGTGACATAACGTAACGAGTCCTGTATTCGATCAAGCGATGGAATACGTGCTTTGAGTTGTCTAAGTAAACAGTCGACAGGGGTGTGGATCACAAGATTTATCGATACTGCCATAATATAGAGTCATACTATACTACTCAATAAACGATAAGGACCACCTTATTCATTCATATTGGGGCGGTCGGGTAGCCTAGCTAGTGGGTAAAGCATTCATCCTGGTTCGATTCCCGACATGGGTACAATGTGTGAAGCCCAATTCTGGTTTCCCCAGCCGTATTATTGCTGGAATATTGCTAAAAGCGGCGTAAAACCATACTCACTCACTCACTATTTATTCATGTTACTGTGGTTAATATGTCATATGACATACCAAATTAACTAAAGTTATATGAAAGAATCAGTTGGTCATTGACGTTTTTTGAGTAGTATATCAATGTTACCTACATGTTTGTATCAACAAGTAATTTATTGTGTTACAGCACCGGCATGGGAAATGGGGAGGTAACTCCCCATACGGAGGAGGAGGAGGTGGGGAAGCGCGTGCTGGCCCAGTTCAAGAGCGAGACGGGAGAGGTGGCAGGAAATCCGTTTGACTTGCCGGTTGATATCACCGTTGACAAGCTCAAACTAGTATGCAGTGCCATCCTCCAGAAAGTGAGTGCCTTGTTGCATCCATTTGAAGTAAGAGTACACAGCTCACACTAAGTTTTGTTGCCGGTGACAAAATCTCAACATGAACCAACAGCTGATCTCGTGAAATACCTGGTAAATCATGATACAAGTACATTGCTTACTAACGGTTTTAACTCAAATTGGCAATTATGCTGATAAATCTCTGAATTTATTATGAATAATAAAATTGTTTCATTACTGATGTAACCTTGGTAGCTAATGGTACATCATTTCTTTTTTGCAGGATGAAAGCACGCCATATTCATTCTTTGTCAATGAGACAGAGATTCAGGAAAGCCTTGAGAAAACCCTACAGAAGGTCGAAGTGACCTCTTCAGAACAAGTGCTTGATATTGTGTATCAGCCCCAAGCTGTATTCCGAGTGCGAGCTGTCACACGCTGCACCAGCACAATAGAGGGCCATGCAGATGCTGTTATAGCAGTAGCCTTTAGTCCAGACGGAAGGTGTGTGTCTATATATGATCTAGTGTTGGAAGTCACAGATTCGGTTCGAAATATCATCCAAATGCATAAGTTATCATTTTTGCAGTTCAATTGTGGCTTATATATCTGCCAGTGATTTCAGTTATTAACTCAATATCCTCACTGAGTCACAATGGTCACTAAGACTTAATGTGACCATTCTGTAAGCTTGTTGTGACCTTTTACTCTTCATGGAGCTGTAGAGGCAGGGGTCACACAGTTGTCCATTTATTTCAGGCACCTTGCAAGTGGATCTGGTGACACTACAGTCCGGTTTTGGGACGTCAGTACAGAGACTCCCCACTTCACATGTAAAGGTATGTAGAGTGTAGGACTGTCAGAGACTCGCCAGTTTACTTGTACAGGTGGGTAGAGTGTAGGACTGTCAGAGACTCCCCAGTTTACTTGTACAGGTGGGTAGAGTGTAGGACTGTCAGAGACTCGCCAGTTTACTTGTACAGGTGGGTAGAGTGTAAGGACTGTCAGAGACTCCCCAGTTTACTTGTATAGGTGGGTAGAGTGTAGGTCTGTCAGAGACTCCCCAGTTTACTTGTACAGGTGGGTAGAGCGTAGGACTGTCAGAGACTCCCCAGTTTACTTGTACAGGTGGGTAGAGCGTAGGTCTGTGATAGACTCATCCAGTTTACTTGTACAGGTGGGTAGAGTGTAGGACTGTCAGAGACTCCCCAGTTTACTTGTATAGGTGGGTAGAGTGTAGGTCTGTCAGAGACTCCCCAGTTTACTTGTATAGGTGGGTAGAGTGTAGGTCTGTCATAGACTCCCCAGTTCACATGTACAGGTGGGTAGAGTGTAGGTCTGTCAGAGACTCCCCAGTTTACTTGTATAGGTGGGTAGAGTGTAGGTCTGTCAGAGACTCCCCAGTTTACTTGTATAGGTGGGTAGAGTGTAGGACTGTCAGAGACTCGCCAGTTTACTTGTACAGGTGGGTAGAGTGTAGGACTGTCAGAGACTCCCCAGTTTACTTGTATAGGTGGGTAGAGTGTAGGTCTGTCAGAGGCTCCCCAGTTTACTTGTATAGGTGGGTAGAGTGTAGGACTGTCAGAGACTCCCCAGTTTACTTGTATAGGTGGGTAGAGTGTAGGTCTGTCAGAGACTCGCCAGTTTACTTGTATAGGTGGGTAGAGTGTAGGTCTGTCAGAGACTCCCCATTTTACTTGTATAGGTGGGTAGAGTGTAGGTCTGTCATAGACTCCCCAGTTCACATGTACAGGTGGGTAGAGTGTAGGTCTGTCAGAGACTCCCCAGTTTACTTGTATAGGTGGGTAGAGTGTAGGTCTGTCAGAGACTCCCCAGTTTACTTGTATAGGTGGGTAGAGGGTAGGTCTGTCACAGACTCCCCAGTTCACATGTACAGGTGGGTAGAGTGTAGGACTGTCAGAGACTCCCCAGTTTACTTGTATAGGTGGGTAGAGTGTAGGACTGTCAGAGACTCCCCAGTTTACTTGTATAGGTGGGTAGAGTGTAGGACTGTCAGAGACTCCCCAGTTTACTTGTATAGGTGGGTAGAGTGTAGGACTGTCAGAGACTCTCCAGTTTACTTGTATAGGTGGGTAGAGTGTAGGTCTGTCAGAGACTCCCCAGTTTACTTGTATAGGTGGGTAGAGTGTAGGACTGTCAGAGACTCCCCAGTTTACTTGTATAGGTGGGTAGAGTGTAGGTCTGTCAGAGACTCCCCAGTCCACATGTTAAGAAAGGCAGCAGTGGAGGACTGTCAGAGACTCCCCAGTTTACTTGTATAGGTGGGTAGAGTGTAGGTCTGTCATAGACTCGCCAGTTCACATGTATAGGTGGGTAGAGTGTAGGTCTGTCAGAGACTCCCCAGTTTACTTGTATAGGTGGGTAGAGCTTAGGTCTGTCAGAGACTCCCCAGTTTACTTGTACAGGTGGGTAGGGTGTAGGACTGTCAGAGACTCCCCAGTTCACATGTACAGAAGGGTAGAGTGTAGGACTGTCAGAGACTCCCCAGTTCACATGTACAGAAGGGTAGAGTGTAGGTCTGTCAGAGACTTCCCAATCCACATGTTAAGAAAGGCAGCAGTGGAGGACTGTTAGAGATTATTTATTTGAGTGTTTACTCACAAGTCATTCACATTGGGTACCGGTATTGATAGAGTCTTTGGGTAGTTAGCAGATGTTTCCTCCCTTAGGTCCAGTCTTTTGGGTATTTTTACTAATGAGTAGACACATTTTTTAATAATTTTACTTCAAATGTTGTTTCTAGTTATTTCTAGTTCATATGTGTTCGAATGTTGACGCAAGTGTGTAACATGTCACATAAACAGCAATATACATTTATATTTTTCGTTTCACTGCCCGCCGCCCCTACTGAAAAGCAGCTGGAAAAGAAATAAATTAAACATAAAAATGTTTGTTTTATTTTTATCTCCCACTAATAATATAGTCCCCCTTATGCAATATAAAAATGTTGTATATAAATTCCATGTCAAGATCACTATCAGTGATTCAAGAAGCCAGCTGCATGTGAAAAGGATGGATTTGGACATTGTGCAGAGTTGTAATAATGTTAGGCTTTTAAATACATTTAGTGTATTTGTATGCAAACAACTAAAAATTAATTGGGTACAGTGTAGTTACTGCCTGCCCACCTGCCCGTGACTGGTAACTTTGTCACAGTCATGCTGCATGACGTTTTCCTCCACCTGCCCAACTGTCTGGGAGATAATTTTAAGACTACTTACGTATTCCGTCACGATATGGCTGAAATACTGTCGATGTGACGTTAAATTTTAACTCACTCACTCACTTACGTATTCAGTTTTATTATGACTCCTAGTAGATTCTCAAGTAATTGTTTGTGTTAATTTTAACTGAAGCAAGACAAGATCTGTCTCTTAATTTTCGTGGTTTCTCACTATTTATAATGTCTGAATGTGGGTAGGTAACTTTGAAGATGGGCAGGCAACATTTATAGGTCAGCTGCCTGACTTTCTTGTTGGGTTTTAAATTTGTTTCAAACACTGATTGGGTAATGGTGATATATTTTGTGTATTTTATGCAAATACACTGCCTGCCTGGCCCTCTGCCTCTTGCCAATACAATTTTCAATTTGCACTGACTCTGCTTTTTGCCAGGTCACAGACACTGGATTCTGTGTATTGCCTGGTCTCCGGATGGGAACAAGTTGGCTTCAGGATGCAAGAATAGTCAGGTAGTAGGACATCCCCCACTTCTATCCTCTTCCCTCCCATGTTGCAAGGGTTGTGCAGAGTTGTGTCCCTTAGGGGAGCCAGAGACCTCTGATCATGGGTTCAAATCCCAGGTTGGCTCTGCTTGTGTTCAAAGGTTTGTCAGCACCAAAGCTGCACCTGTGGGTTTTTCCTCCCACATTGAGCTGACATGCAGTCATATCACTGAAATCCATGTTTACTTCTCAACCTAAGGCTTATATCTTCACATGATGTGTAAATCTGTGCCTGTTCTAACTTTGCAAGCCTTGCAACTATTGTATCGCCATGAGCATTTAACATTGTTGAAAGGTGATTAGACAATGAGATTCAAGTAGTTCAGACACCCCTACTAACAATCAATTGCATGGATCGATGCTCATGATGTCAATCACTGGATTGTCTGGTCCAGACTCGATTATTTTACAGACCGCCGTCATATAGCTGGCATATTGCTGAGTGCGTCGTTAAACAACAAACAAACAAACAATTTGAAACAAACACTGCTAATGAATTCAACATGATGAATTTTTATTATGTATTTTAATCTGAGAATCAATTATATCGGTAATTACAATGTATCAGTTTCACACAGATTACAATTGCTAAACCTTGCATGTATGTATCTAGATCTGCTCTGCGGCTGATATTCGTTCCCAAGTCGGTAGCAAGTGTCTGTAAAAGTCTTGATCTGGAACGGACAAATTGCCAAGCTATGTTATATTAGTACTAACTAATCAGGTGCTAATGTCATGGCTCTACAGAGGTGGCTTGCCTCTCTCTGACAACAGGAGCAATAAACAAGAAGGGGCTTTCATGTTCAGTTTTTCATTTAATATTAAAATACCCCTGAATTCAAGATAAATAGGACTTTTAAGAAAGTCACGATTTCAAACCAAATTACGTTTTCTTTCCTTTTTCTGCCAAAGGCACTTGGTTTATCAATACCTGCCTCCATTGATAATTGACACCAAGTAGAGCACAGTCCCCTTGAATATGTGATTGGAATCTGGCATTCATGAATAGACTTACTAAGGATTCATCTTGGCTTATTTAGAAACGTTTGTTTGCATATATTTGTACAGTTGGTACAGTATTTGATGGGGTGTCGGAGTCCATCAATATTTTTTCAAGGTTACTATCTTTTTCGTGTATTTACTGCCGACACACGATGGTTTGCGGAAGATGGTGTTTCTCATGCTTGTTTCCTTTGTTCAGATCTGTGTGTGGGATCCCAACACAGGGAACCAGATTGGCCGAACCCTGACCGGACACAAGCAGTGGATCACATGGTTGTCATGGAAACCACTTCATCTGTGAGTAAGCCCGACATTGTCATGTCTATTTATAGCAACACTTAGAATCAGTGCCACGCATCATACGTTTAGACATCCGTTTCATGGCACATGGCATAGGCAAATATTTAGTTATTTTTCAGTGCCTAATTTTAGAACATGCAGAATCTTGTGTTTAATCTTACTGTGTTCGAACAGAAATATATTTGATGAATACCAACCAATTAGTTTCCCTTCTGTGTTTTTGTTTGGTTGGTCATGTGAAGTGTATATACCTCTTTTTAGGATCTTGCAATGCCATCTGTTTATCTGTACCACATGATGTGACCCGTGAACATCCGGGATAGAATAGGTCTTCAGCAACCCATGTTTGCTGTAAAAGGCGACTAAGATTGTCGTAAGAAGCAGGATCGGGTGGCCAGACTCGCTGACTTGGATGATGCACTTCATCAATCTGAATGGCGTGGATCGATGCTCATGATGTCAATCACTGGATTGTCTGATCCAGACTCGATTATTTACAGACCACTGTCATATAGCTGGAATATTGCTGAGTGCGGCGTTAAACAACAAACTCACTCACTCACTCACTCACCTTACGAAACAATACATTTCAATGTAGAAGCGCAAATCACGTGACTGACACTGACCTTGAATAATGACTCGTCAGATGATAAGTCTGGTCTGCCACATGAGGAATGTTAATGCTTGTCTGCTAGAAAACAAGATGGCGTATGGTACAGTAAACTACGGTTATAACAAACTCAAAGGGACCACTTATTTTAGTTTGTAATAACCGTAGTTCATAAGCATGTAGGCATACGAGTATATACAGCAAATGGCCTGGACTAAGAAATAAGTTCATTATATCTGTCAGTTTGTTTTTAGGGTGTTCATTATAAACGTAGTTTACTGTAGTAACATTTTACTATGCAACAGAGGAAACTAGTAATCTTCAATGTGAAATTCAGTACAACAAAACAAATGATTACTCTTGACAAGGTCAATATGGAAAACAAGGCCCCGAGGACCTGTGCCTTGATGTGGTCTGAATGGAGGCCTTGTTCAGCCAGAACCACCTCGGGTTGGGTCCTTGTTTGTGTATATTGACCTTGCCAAGGATAAGTATTTGTATAGTATGAGGTTGCAAATTATGTTTGATATGGGCTCTTGTATGACATCCGGTGCAGCATGTTTGTGTGTAAACAGAATATTGTCCGGAAGATACACCTGCAGATGATCCATTTGTAAATCAGTTGCATGTCTCCGTGGTCTAGTGGTAGAGCATACGCCTGGAGAGCGGAAGGTCCAGTTATACCAAAAGCTGATTTTATAGTGCTAGCCCACTTAGATACCATGCCGCAGTTTAACATGATTACCCCACTCAGACACAGTTTATTGACTCTGACCAGTCCTTGTTTGAGACCCTTAATGCCGAGCGCCAGACAGAGTAACAAGTACCATCATTACATGTTAGGCATGACACGGCCTGGGATCAAACTCCCGACCTTCCGCTCTCCAGGTGGACGCTCTAACACTAGACCACAGAGGTGGTCTAGCACGATCATCTTAAGAAAGGGCTTGAACATATCTTTTGTTTTCTGTTACAGAGATCCAGAATGTCGCTATTTGGCTAGTTCGTCCAAGGTAAGTCAAGGTCAAGGTTATATCAGATCAAGAATAGAAGCAGCAGAGCTGAACATGTTTGTGTCATCTTATGAAAAAAAAAGCAAACAATAATAAGTATAATTGAAAAGATGAAATTGAGGGACTGTCCCTGGACATATTGGGAGTCCTGGCAAGTTTGAGTCGCGCTGTTCAAACACCACTCTCTCTACTGGCTCAAATGTTATAAAGTTTTCACAATCTACTAGTTCATGTTAAAGCTAATTACTTTTAGACAATTTTTCGTTTTCAAAGCCTAGACATATTCTGAAAACATGTTCCAGACATTTGAGCATTGTCTCTAAAGGAAGACTTTAATGACTGATTTTATTCTCAGAAATATGTTTTATCAATATAAGTAATATGTTTGAAAGTAGTGAATTACAGCAGGTATATTGATGTTCTTCTGATGGTTTGTTTGTCTGCCAGGACGGCACGGTGAGGATCTGGGACACCGTGCTCGGCCACACCCACCTGACACTGTCCGGGCACCTGCAGTCTGTGTCATGTGTCAAGTGGGGGGGCACGGACCTTCTCTACACCGCGTCACAGGACCGCACTGTCAAGGTGTGGAGAGCCAGCGATGTGAGTCATTTTGTCTGTAGCATCATGTTCAATACTATTTCTTCTGGTCATCATTAATAAGTCCTTTTAGTTTTGACTATTGCAGGTGTTCGAAAGTAGCCTAAAAAAAAGTAGAAAAAGTTTTGAGTGTTGAGTTTTTGTTATTTTAGGGGTTTGTGATGGACCCTGTTTCAACATTAGGAGTCGTCCCACGTACATATAAGCAATATGATATATGACTGTTTTGACACGCAGTTCGTAAATTTGTGGCTCCTGAAGCTAGAGTCGGCAGTTGTAATCCCAGTGCACTAACTGGTTGAGATTCTGTGTGGGTATACACAAAGATGATGGAATCTGGTGAAGCTTGCGTCAAGCCAACAGCTGCCAACACTAGACACAATTTCCTGCACAGTCAAACATTTTCTCTTATCGTTTCCTCTAGTTGCTGCTGCTGCTGTAGTTGATGTTGAAGAAGTAGTAGCAGTAGCAGTAGCAATGGGATTCAGGTCAAGGTGGTTAATTTCTGCCTGTTAAATATGGCCAGTTGTCAGAGTTGTCTCCCTTGGACTGTGATTTGTACAGAATGCTTGTGCAGGACATATTCATCATATGAAGGAAATGTTACATGTTTTGTACAATGTCTGTTGTGTGTGTTGTTGTATGAGATGTCCTCGTGTGTGTTGTTGTATGAGATGTCCTCGTGTGTGTTGTTGTATGAGATGTCCTCGTGTGTGTTGTTGTATGAGATTTCCTCGTGTGTGTTGTTGTATGAGATGTCCTCGTGTGTGTTGTTGTATGAGATTTCCTTGAGTGTGTTGTTGTATGAGATTTCCTCGTGTGTGTTGTTGTATGAGATTTCCTTGTGTGTGTTGTTGTATGAGATTTCCTCGTGTGTGTTGTTGTATGAGATGTCCTCGTGTGTGTTGTTGTATGAGATTTCCTTGAGTGTGTTGTTGTATGAGATTTCCTCGTGTGTGTTGTTGTATGAGATTTCCTCGTGTGTGTTGTTGTATGAGATTTCCTCGTGTGTGTTGTTGTATGAGATGTCCTCGTGTGTGTTGTTGTATGAGATTTCCTTGAGTGTGTTGTTGTATGAGATTTCCTCGTGTGTGTTGTTGTATGAGATTTCCTCGTGTGTGTTGTTGTATGAGATTTCCTCGTGTGTGTTGTTGTATGAGATGTCCTCGTGTGTGTTGTTGTATGAGATTTCCTCGTGTGTGTGGTTGTATGAGATTTCCTCGTGTGTGTTGTTGTATGAGATGTCCTCGTGTGTGTTGTTGTATGAGATTTCCTCGTGTGTTGTTGTATGAGATTCCCTCGTGTGTGTTGTTGTATGAGATGTCTGTTGTGTGTGTTGTTGTATGAGATGTCCTCGTGTGTGTTGTTGTATGAGATTCCCTCGTGTGTGTTGTTGTATGAGATGTCTGTTGTGTGTGTTGTTGTATGAGATTTCCTCGTGTGTGTTGTTGTATGAGATGTCCTCGTGTGTGTTGTTGTATGAGATTTCCTCGTGTGTGTGGTTGTATGAGATTTCCTCGTGTGTGTTGTTGTATGAGATGTCCTCGTGTGTGTTGTTGTATGAGATTTCCTCGTGTGTTGTTGTATGAGATTCCCTCGTGTGTGTTGTTGTATGAGATGTCTGTTGTGTGTGTTGTTGTATGAGATGTCCTCGTGTGTGTTGTTGTATGAGATTCCCTCGTGTGTGTTGTTGTATGAGATGTCTGTTGTGTGTGTTGTTGTATGAGATGTCCTCGTGTGTGTTGTTGTATGAGATTTCCTTGAGTGTGTTGTTGTATGAGATGTCCTCGTGTGTGTTGTTGTATGAGATTTCCTTGAGTGTGTTGTTGTATGAGATTTCCTTGAGTGTGTTGTTGTATGAGATGTCCTCGTGTGTGTTGTTGTATGAGATGTCCTCGTGTGTGTTGTTGTATGAGATTTCCTTGAGTGTGTTGTATGAGATGTCCTTGTGTGTGTTGTTGTATGAGATTTCCTTGAGTGTGTTGTTGTATGAGATGTCCTTGTGTGTGTTGTTGTATGAGATTTCCTCGTGTGTGTTGTTGTATGAGATTTCCTCGTGTGTTGTTGTATGAGATGTCCTCGTGTGTGTTGTTGTATGAGATTTCCTTGAGTGTGTTGTTGTATGAGATGTCCTCGTGTGTGTTGTTGTATGAGATTTCCTTGAGTGTGTTGTTGTATGAGATTTCCTCGTGTGTGTTGTTGTATGAGATTTCCTCGTGTGTGTTGTTGTATGAGATGTCCTCGTGTGTGTTGTTGTATGAGATTTCCTCGTGTGTTGTTGTATGAGATGTCCTCGTGTGTGTTGTTGTATGAGATTTCCTTGAGTGTGTTGTTGTATGAGATGTCCTCGTGTGTGTTGTTGTATGAGATGTCCTCGTGTGTGTTGTTGTATGAGATTTCCTCGTGTGTGTTGTTGTATGAGATGTCCTCGTGTGTGTTGTTGTATGAGATTTCCTCGTGTGTTGTTGTATGAGATGTCCTCGTGTGTGTTGTTGTATGAGATTTCCTTGAGTGTGTTGTTGTATGAGATGTCCTCGTGTGTGTTGTTGTATGAGATGTCCTCGTGTGTGTTGTTGTATGAGATTTCCTCGTGTGTTGTTGTATGAGATGTCCTCGTGTGTGTTGTTGTATGAGATTTCCTTGAGTGTGTTGTTGTATGAGATGTCCTTGTGTGTGTTGTTGTATGAGATTTCCTCGTGTGTTGTTGTATGAGATTTCCTCGTGTGTGTTGTTGTATGAGATGTCCTTGTGTGTGTTGTTGTATGAGATTTCCTTGAGTGTGTTGTTGTATGAGATTTCCTCGTGTGTGTTGTTGTATGAGATTTCCTCGTGTGTGTTGTTGTATGAGATTTCCTTGAGTGTGTTGTTGTATGAGATTTCCTTGAGTGTGTTGTATGAGATTTCCTCGTGTGTGTTGTTGTATGAGATGTCCCCGTGGGTGTTTTTTAGGATGTCCTTGTGGGTGTTGTATACGATGTCCCATGTTGCAGGGAGTGCTGTGTCGTACACTGCAAGGTCACAGTCACTGGGTGAACACAATGGCCTTGAGCACTGACTATGTCATCCGGACAGGAGCCTTCGACCCAAAAGATGCTAAACTGGTCCACAGAGACGTCACGGAATCAGGTAGGAAGCCCTGTTATCAGGAGTTATCACCAGGTTGTTTCTCCACAGTACATGTGCACTAATCCATGCTTGCTGTAAAAGGTGACTATGCTTGTCGTAAGACGCGACCAACGGGATTGGGTGGTCAGGCCTGCTGACTTGGTTGATGCATGTCATTGTGTCCCAACTGCGTGGATCAATCAATGCTCATGATATCAATCACTGGATTGTCTGGTCCAGACTCGATTAAAGACAGACCGCCGTCATATAGCTGGAATATTGCTGAGTGCAGTGTTCAACAACAACAAACAAACAAACAAGCAAAACAAAACGTGCGCTAAGTTGTGCACAACCTGTTTCTGTCTCATCATTCTTGATGTTTGCTATTCGCATCATCATCATGACCATTGTATTCCTTGACAGGGCTGATGGACCTTTCACAATTGTTACACAAAAGTAACTTCACGTAATGAAAGAGTTGTAACTAGAATCTGCATTCTTTGTGTGTTTCCTGCCTGTTGTTTCTGTAACTGCAGGTTATTGTATTCTTGTATAAAAGGAGATGGGTCCAACTCATTTATTCTGTAAACTTGTTGAAAAGACGTATCCAACTGTTCATAATGTACTTTGTACATACGCTGACTGACACTGAGAGCTTTCTCAGTGTATGCCATAGCTATTTCAAATTTTGAAAGACCTTTGGCTTGTTTGAACCCTTGGTCAGAGTCAGCAATGTGCATACAGTCTCTGGTGATGGCTGTTACAGGACCGGCTTTTCCGTCTCCACTTCCCTTTTACATCGACAGCAGCTGTGCCGCCGCTGCTGCCGCCCTTGGTTTCCAAGGCTCAAGCTGCTCTTTGTGCGCTCCCTTTTGTCGCCACTGGCGCCTGGCTATCTCAGCTTTTCCTCGGTGCCTTTGGCTCCTCTGGCAGATGTTCTCTACTCTACTTCGGCATCTACGGCGCCGGTGGGGCGCCTTCTGCTTACGGACATTTGACCCTCCAATTGGCACCCCAACACATGCTCCCGCCCTCCTTCATGGCTCAAGTCTGGATGCAAGCGTAGATGCAGTCGTCGTTTACCCAGGCAGCTCCAGCCTCAGTAGCGCTGGTTCCCCCGGTGTCTGCTCCCTTTACGGCATCTTTGGCATTGATTCCGGTGAATTCGACTACTGACTCTCTGACGCCTTTAGCCCCTCTGTCTGCTATGGGTTCTCATCGGCCTTGTTTCAACCTATGCCTCGTTTTCTCTGGCTGCCTCTTGCCACTCTTCCAAGTCTTCTTGATCTCGTCGTCATTCTCAAAGTCGTTTGCCCATACACCGTCGGCATTGTACCTCTCGCTCAGTTCATCGGAGAGATTTTTCGGCCCGATTATCATCCTTCCTCTCCAGTGATTGACATCCACTTGGGTCCGTCCTATGCAGCTGATTGGCTGGCTGACCGTTTTTTCCTCTGTCGCTCCCTCCCTTGGTTCCGATGTCAACAAAAAATCCACTATCTAGTCTAACCAGACCAACCTTGTTGTGACGTTGGACGAGGACTTCATCGGGCTGTCCCTCACGCTCCTCGCTTTCGTCATGATGATTTTCCTGTCCACTCCTTCAACGTTACTGATGGAGCGCACACATTAAACGAGGACATGCATCGAATGGACAGGTTCTCCATGCCGGACTCTCGCCTTGCCTTAGCGGTGTCGGCACTTTGTCGTTCGAAGGTAGGTAGAGAGGTAGACGAAGATCTGTCGGAGTCCAATCCTAATAGGATTGACCACCAGTGGACTGTCATGGCCTTTCAACTCTGCGGAATCATTTGCGGGCCGCCCTGGCGGAGATAACTGCTACCAAACGCTGGTGGTACTTGGCTCTTACAGAATGGGATTCTGAAGTCAAGCTAGGGTTTCCAGCTATGCAAAGGAGGAAACGGCCCTCAAGACCCTTGAGCGTCTCCTTACTGAAGGACACTCCCCAGCACTCCTGACCCTGACCACGTGGTCGTGGAAAGTCCTGTGGTTCCTACTAGTCCTGACGCGATCGCCACTCCGGCAAAGGTGCTGATTCGAACTCCAACCGTTGACCTGTTGGACTTCAACGACTGGGACCTCCCACCACCAGTCATTCTGGTCGCCACACACCCTGTGTTTCTGTTTCTGGTCCCAAAGAAGGGCGCCACCAAACTGCTCATAATCCACATCCTTTTCATTTTCAATCTGTGTTACCTGGAACGTACTCCTTACTTCCGGATGATGACATTGAGGCTGCTCAGGACAAGAATCAATGCCTGCAATTTCCCTGATCAGCCTTGACATCCAGGATGCCTATCCTCATGTGCCCATCCACCCCAACGACCCGCTGCTCCTCAGGTTACTTTTCAATGGTACCCATTACCAGTACGTCCTACCATTTAGAATTTGTGGCTTTTCACACGTATCACCAAGCCTGTGGCCAGCTTGCACCTGAGGAACGTCAACTTCGAGTCTTGCATAGACGACTGTCTCCTCAACAATCGGGACTCAGGTTTGCTACTTTGCCACAGGGATTTTAACCTGCGACTCAGTGATTCTGTCCTTTGTCTGCAATTCATTGGCGGCCTATTTCTCACAAACCAGGACCTCTTTCGTTTCCAGGGACAGACGGCTGAAAATCGTCACCCACCTCCGCCCTGCTCTACATCAGGCTGGAACTCTCCGCCAGTGGCAGATTCTCTTGGGTCTCCTCACCTCGGCTCAAGACCTGACTCCCAGGGGTTGCCGGATCCGGAGATTCCCATCGTCCTCCCGGTTCATCTACACCCATTCCTCCAGTGGTGGACAGTGGAATCGAATGTCTTCCGCGGCGTCTCCATGACCATGCTACAGCCATCCCTCCACCTGTTCGTCAACACATCCAAACAGGGTTGGGGAACTCACTTGGAGACTCAGACAGTTGCAGGGCTGTGCTCCATTGGCACAGCAACAACCTTGAGCTAGAAGCTCTTATCCTGGCTGTCTCTCACTGGCAGAGCACTCTCCCTCATGCCCAGTTGACCATATCCACCGTTTCTCCTTCCCAGGGTTCTTCAAAAGATCCAGGCCACACGGAACCTGACACTGATTTTGGTCGCGCTATGGTGCCTGGGCAGAAGTTGGTTTGTCGACCTCCAAAACCTTGCCCAACCTTCTGTTCCACCCACACATTCGGTTGCCTAACCCGAGCCCCGCACGGTTTCGTCTGCACGCCTAGCACATCTGCAGAAAGGCCTAGGAGCAAAAGGCTATGCGGCTAGAGCAGCCAAGGCAATTGCTTTAGCCCATCGTCCATCTACAGGGGGACTGTATGATGACAAGTGGTGCTCCTTCCAGGCTCCTGCTCAGACAAACACCAGGATCTGATGACAGCGTCACTGCAGTTCCTGGCTGAGTTTCTTCTGTATTTGCGCAGCACATGTCGGTTAAAAGGCTCTCCACATACCTGGGCGCCTTCAACTCTGTTCTTGCCATCCTGGATGATCAAAGAATGACGAAAATTCCCAACCACTAGGCCTTGCTACGCTCCTTACGTCTTGAAGACCAGAAAGCCAAGTTTAGACCGCTGTGTGGGATCTCATCATAAGGCTCTTCGTACGACTCCCTTCGAACCACTCCACTTTTCTTCGGCGTTTCTCCTGGCCTTGGCTGCTGCAGCTTGGGTCAGTGAGCTACACGCCCTCGACGTCTCCCGTGTTCACCTTGAACACGTTTGAATATTTGCTACTTCCACCAAGATCTGCACCCAAGGCCATGTAGAACATGTTGCCAGGAGGTTTCAACCCACTATGTCTGTGATGCAGACTGCCACATCTTGTCATCTGCAAATATTTATTATTTACGAACATCAAGACTAATATTTAGTCTGTTTGGGCAACCACAGCAATCTGTCATTGTTGAGGCGACTTAATGAATTGGTTTATTGCATGTCATTGTACCCCGATGTCATGGATTGGTGATCATAATATCAATGCCAGGATCTGATTATTTGCTGGAATATTGCTGAGTGGAGCATAAAACAACAAACAAAAACACACAAAACCTCACTGTATACACTACAGTACAAAAGTTTGTTATCGTCTCCTGTGGTTAAAATGCAAATTGCCCATGTGTATACCGACCCGTGAAAATTCGGGGTAGAATAGGTCTTCAGCAGCCCACGCTTGCTGTAAAAGGCGACTATGCTTGTCGTAAGAGGTGACTAACGGGATCGAGTGGTCAGGCTCGCTGACTTGGTTGATGCATGTCATCGATCCCAAATGCGTCGATCGATGCTCATGATATCAATCACTGGATTATCTGGTTCAGACTCGATTATTTACAGACTGCCGTCATATAGCTGGAATATTGCTGAGTGCGGCGTTAAACAACAAACCAACCAACCATGTGTATACCACAAACCACAATTTACAAGTGGCGTCCGAACCAGCCTACTTCTTCGCAATGAATTTAGTAACTTTTTTGGTGCTTGCAATTAGGCCATTCACAAACAGTTCCAGTGAACTTTTCAAGACTGACTTAAAAAATAGATGCTGTAACTGCATTAAAATTTGGCACTAGTCCTATAGTCCTTGCCAAACTGCCCAATATAAGGTATCATAAAGAGACATTTCCCCTATTTAAAGGTTTTGCTATATGTTATCATTATAATGGCAAGTGGTCTAAAACTTTTAGTTTCTAACACTGCGTAAATATATTTCCTGGAGTTACCTTCCCATTCTCTGTCTATATTCACTACTATCTGAACAAACAAAATTCTAATGTGCCCCATTGCAGGGGATAATAATAACGCTTTTTCTTGTTCTTTTTAACATGGATATGTGATTTATGAACAACTTTCATTGTGTCCCTTATCTTGTACAAATCTACATGTACATGTACCTACATTTGTAGTTTGACAAACACCGCTGTGACAATGGTCTTATCAACGTTGAGATATGTACTTGGGTTAAAAACACATATGGAGAGACATCGTAATCAGAGTGACCAACCCACACAGTTGATATCAAACATGAAGTGCATTACTCCCACCAAGCTGATAATTATGTACATGCTTGTGTAAGACACATACTTAAATTTCCATGTCATTTATATCAAAGCCAAACAGTAACTATCACCCTTTCTGTGTGTAACATATATTTTGCTGAGTGTAGTTGTGATGTTACTATATGTCAAACATGTTATATACACACTTTACAGGTCGTAATACCAGACAGATGGCCAGTGAGATAGCAGAATGTCTTGTGTTAGTTGTAATTATTGTGTTATGTACATCAGTTGTCCTCAGTAAGTTTCCTACACCGTGACATACTCCCTGTGAAGATCCAGGGTAGAATAGGTCTTCATCAACCAAGAGGCAACTGTGCTTGTTTGTAAGAGGCGACTTATGGGATCGGGTGGTCAGGCTCACTGACCTTGTTGATGCAGGTAATGTTATCCCAGTTGAATAGATCGATGCTCATGATGTCAATCACTGGATTGTGTGGTACAGACTTTTTTATTTACAGATTGCCGTCATACAGTTTGAATATTGCTGAATGCTGTGTTAAACAACAAACAAACAAAAACAAACAAACAAACCAAACCTTGATATACGCTTTTCACGGTATGGTTGGTCACTTGGCTACCTCTGTGATGATATGTCTTACATGTGGAAATTAATCTTTCAAGATTTTCCTTATTTTGCTGATGAACTGCATTCAAGTGACTCAACTCAAATGACTAGAAGTACAATTAATCTCATAGAATTGTTTCAATATGCACACTTCTGGACAGGGTTAAATTGAATCCTAAAGAATTTGAAACCAGGTTCAAACAGGAAACAGTAAACGGTGTGTGTCATCATGATGCCAGGGTCATACAGGAAACAAGAAACAGTAAACTGTGTGTGTCAGAGTGATGTCATGATGCCAGGGTCTTATGGCATATAAGACTATGCTTCAGATGTGATGTGATGCCTTGCCTGTATACTGATATCAAAGTTGATAGGTTAATTCAAAGTCATTCAAAGTCATTCATGTATCACGTGAAAAGTTTCACAGAGTGTTTGTTAATCAGATAAGTAATCGTTGTGTTTCTCACTGGACACATCCGAGAACGTGTGGGTGGTCAGCTAGCCTGTTAGTTGATTCATTATCTTGTCATGGTGAGACATGTTTTGATGCCCAATAGGAGTACAATGTGAACTTGTAATCTGTTGCATGTATAATACCCCATCGCTATATTGCTGGAATATTTCCTAATGCAGTGTAGATTCTAGGGCTTGGATTTTACACAAACTGTGCAATCCGATACGTATCACAATACTTGGCTCACGATCCAATACGTATCACGATACTTGGCTCACGATCTGATACATATCATGATACTTGGCTCACGATCCGATACTTATCACGATACTTGGCTCACAATCCGATATGTATCACGATACTTGGCTCATGATCTGATATGTATCACGATACTTGGCTCACGATCCGATACTTATCACGATACTTGGCTCACGATCAGATACGTATCACGATACTTGGCTCACGATTTGATACGTATCACGATACTTGGCTCACGATCCGATACTTATCACGATACTTGGCTCACGATCAGATACGTATCACGATACTTGGCTCATGATCTGATATGTATCACGATACTTGGCTCACGATCCGATACTTATCACGATACTTGGCTCACGATCAGATACGTATCACGATACTTGGCTCACGATTTGATACGTATCACGATACTTAAGATTGCTCTAATCTGTGGATGACAAAATACCTGGCACACTGATGATTTACAGTTGGCAGTGTGAAGTATGGAACAATGGATGAAAATACTTATGTTTTCATTACTAATTTTCCCTACTAATTAGTGTTTAGTGTGACAGTTATTAAAGCAAACACTGAAGTTAAGAATCAATATTTTTTACTAAATGTTTGACTGTGATCAATACATGTATCGAGAAGTAAAAAATTGTGATCCACCGATACACTGATATGCTACTCATTGACTCAGAGAAAACCCAGTTTAATCAAAGAAGAAGAATGTTTAGAATGTCCAGTTCAGTGTGGCAAAAACAACAATATATCATATGTACAACCCTCAAGTGAAAATAACTGTACACTGATCAAAGTTAAATGTGTTGGTAAATCATTAGTGTTAGTTTATGATAATTAATGAACCATATTTGACTGTTCAGACGCTTGGTATTTACGTATAGTGTGTACAAAAAAAGATTACATATAAAAAATTTCACAATCCAAACATATCTTGTTTTCCGTGATGGGAAAGTGAAGCCATTGAAGCTGTTTCTTGATTCAGTTGGGGGTATGGGTGGCCCAGTCGTCTAAGGAGTTGCGATTTGCTGTGCAGAGTTGCATCCCTTGGGCACGCCAGAAACCTATGATTGTGGGTTCGAAACCCGGTTCTCCCCAATTATGTTTCTAGGTTTGTCAGCACCATACCCGTGCTCATGGGTTTCACCGAAAAGGTAAAACTCAGAGACCTGCATCACTTCAGGTTTTCCTCCCACATTAAGCTGACACGCCGTGATATAACTGGAATACTGTTCAAAGCGGCGTTAAACCCAACTCAGTCACTCACTCACTCACTCACTCACTCACTCACTCACTCACTCACTCACTCACTCACTCACTCACTCACTCACTCACTCACTCACTCACTCACTCACTCACTCACTCACTTAAGCTTGAACATTGGGTTTCCATCCATGTTTCATTGAGTCAGAGTGGGCACGGGTGGCCCAGTCGTCTAAGGTGCCACAATTTGCTCCGCTGAGTTGCGTCCCTTGGGAACGCCAGAAATCTAGGATTGTGGTTTGGAATTTCGGTTGCCCCAATTGTTTCTAGGTTTATCAGCACCATTCCCATACTCGTGGGTTTCACCAAAGTGGTAAACTTCTGAGACCTGCATCACTTCGGGCTTGCCTCCCACATTAAGCTGACACGCCACAATATAACTGGAATAATGTGACAAGCATGTTAAACTCACACACTCATTGTGTTGGAGCAAGTTGTCCACCAATACTATGTAATGGATGCAATCAGTGTCACAGACACAGCTGGTAACAACTGCATGTGGCAATACGTCTTGGACTGAAACATGATAGAAATCGACTGGGGAAGTGTATTTCAAGTTTTTGTGAATTACAGGGCTTGACATTTGGCGTTCATGTATATCCTACTGTGATGTCATATCTTTTGTGTCACAATGAGCGGTGTGACATCATCAAAGCAACGTATGGATTTGTTTGTTTGTTTGTTTGTTGTTTAATGCCGCAACTCAGCAATATTCCATCTATATGACGGCAGTCTGTGTAAATAAAAGAGTCTGGACCAGACAGTCCAGTGATTGATATCATGAGCATTGAACAGTGCAACTGGCTCGATGACATGCATCAACCAAGTCAACGAGTCTGACCACCGGATCCTGTTAGTCGCCTCTTACGACAAGCATAGTCACCTTTCACAGCAAGCTTGGGTTGCTGCATCTTCCCGAGGCAAGAGAGTTAACTGACTTTAAAAGTCCAATTTCCACCCTTGCCGAACTAGGCTGGAATTCCTGGGCTCGATCGTAGCGCCACCAGTGGCTATTACGAGTTCTGTCCTTTCCATGCCTCTCCTATTGACCAATCAGATTCAACCTCTCGTATCACTTGCATTTGCTTCAAACAAAACGGTGGTCCCCAGTCAAGACGATCTGATCGATAATCAAGATCTATATTGTGATAGAACGAGTCTTACATCGCGAAGTGCATCAAATCACGTGAGCACCTTGATTAAAAACATGAAAAGATTTAGAAAATATCTGTTGACAACAAGTTAGCGGTGCACATGCTTTGCAAATCCTGCAGTCGACCAAAATCTGCATGACACTTTACGAACCGGATTTCGATTTCGTTGCGCGATTTTAATTGGATTATGCATAGACTTGTTAGCCCAGCCAAAATGTAACTCCATAATACCAGCCTAGTTCGGCAAGGGTGGAAACTGGACTTTTATAGTCAGTTAACTCACTTGCCTCGGGAAGATGGGGTTGCTGAAGACCTATTCTACCCCCGATCTTCACGGGTCAGCAATGTATGGAAGACATCCAGTATTGATATCAACAGTATGTACAACAAATGCTCTGTGCTTTCACAAATAAAAGAACACAACACACTTTACCACAATGTCATAAGCAATGCATATACACTTTATGCAGATATGTAAACATCAAATAAGAAAATGCACACATCAGAGTATAGATGAATAAGTTAAACATAAGTCGGTACATGTTGATGTGTTTTTATATATCATTGTTATATATCATATTAAAATACCTCATCCAATCACTCGAGAATCTTCCACTTACACAGTTTTAGAAGCTGTTGACTGACGGGGAATTATGTCTCTGACTGGATGCTTTTCACCTGTCGGCAGCTTCCCAAACTGTGGTGTAGAGTGGGGAAACCTCTACTACACAGTAATTTGTGTTTGCTGTAATAAACGGCCCTGGTGCTTAGGAAATTGACAAAGGAGGTGCTTACTAAGACCATGCAAAACAAAGTTTGTTTTTAGAGATCTTCGTTCAAACAGAGATGAAGCTGAAACATTTTCGATGATAGTTAATAGGGGATTACATAAACAATTCTGCACGGCTGTTTACTGTAAAAATGTGACTGTCTGATGTGGGTGCTTAAACAGATTAACTACAGAGTGGCCTGGAAGTTGGTCAGGGCCGCTTATTGGAGCAGGGCGCTTAAAAGGGCAAATACGGTAACTGTGTTTATATTGAGTGTTTGAGACATTATTAGACTGTCATCTGTCATAAATGCTGTAGCCAAACATAGACAAAAAACTCTAGCTATGCATATGTATTTCAAATATCTAAGAAAGGAAGGAAATGTATTCAAGTTGTATCAAGCACTCAGGTGTATGGTTGTGTAGTGAAATAATTTAAAAACCCAACAAGATAGTCGGGCAGGTGACCCATAAATGTTAAATGCCCCCATTCAGACATTATAAATACTGAATTAACATGAAAAATAAGAGAAATATCGCATCTTGATTCAGTTGAAATTATACAAACAATCCAGTCTTCTTAAGGCGTTGCAAGTCTCTGTGCAGAGTTGTGTCCCTTTGGCTTCCTGGAATCCCAGATTGGCCCTGATTATAACTATTGGGTTAATATTGTCCACCCCAGCTCTATACCCAACTCACTAACTTATATATTTACATATGTCAGTCTGTATGTTTGAGATGGTTTACAAACATTCTATACATGTAAACCATCTTATTGAATATTCATGCGATCAGTGTTAGAAATCAACCTACTGGTAGATGCATCTTTTTCATTCTGTTTTAATGTGGGCTTATTAGTGTGTTCCACATGGTCAAATTATTATCTCAAGCCGTGTCACATTCTGACTAATTTCACACTCCAATAGGACACAGTTAATCAAGTAGGAGAAGTCATGTCCCACTGAGGGGGAACAACTGGGGTTTGTGTTACGACTACATCGGGAGACAGACTATCTCACTTTTGCCAACTTGACTCCCACAGAGAATTTGACAGGGTGATTCAGTGTTGGGATTAATGTGGGGAATAAAACTTCTTACAATTTAGCTAAACTGCCCACCTACAACCCACCCCATGCTATCTTCAATGTTAGGGATAACTTTGGGAACTGAGCCTGAAAATCACATCATCACATATTCGGAACATATATGTGGGTTCAATGTTAAGGTCAATGTTGGGGGCAAGACTGACCCCAACCCCATCTGCCGACCCCATTACATGTCCCTCTGACGGTTGTACATGTTGGATCAATGTTAGGGTCAACATTGGGAACTGAGCTGCCCTCCAAATTCACATGGTCACTTCTTCAGGGAGTTGCACTTGTTGGTCAATGTGAGGGTCAACATATGGAGCAAGAATGTCCCCCCCATCCATCCCCTCACCACATCATTCCCCTCAGATGGTGGAACAGGGTGGGTCAATGTTTGAGTCAACGTGGGGCGCCAGACTGCCCTTGGTCTCACAGTTGAGCCACCCTGTCTCCCACACTTCGGTGATGTCAACCAGATCCTCCTGCCTGTAAAACCTGGTGCCGTTCTTCAGGATGATATGGCTGTCTTCACTGACAGTTGTCCGATAGTAGTGAACCGTGATGTCAATCCCTTCTTTCAGCCCCTCTTCAATGCTGTCGGTGATGTTGTCTGATGATATTGACTCGCACAAACCGTTGTTGTTACTATATTTAGCATTAAATCGGATGTCACCGAAAACTAACTTTCGGAACACTCTGTCAGGTGGAATGAAGGAAAATTTGAAAATGATTGATATGCGATCGCCACTTAGAAAGCTGCCACAGTTGGAGTCTTTGGTTATTACGGTTGTCGTCTTATTGATGGAGTAGCATTCTATGGCCTCCCACAGTGAGTTATTATTGTTCTCCCAAAGGACAATCTGGAGTTCAGAAGCAGTGTGTCTGTATTCATAGTTGAACATGACCACCTTATCGGGCAGGTTCCGTACACTGTTGATGGTGATGAGTCTCATCCAATTAGCATCAGAGGCGTTGTTTGGTTCCACGATGTCAAAGGTTGGGTGATGGAAGTAGATGCTGACGTTCTTGAAGTAACGGTCGTCATTGTACTTGTCCTCAAATATGGTGTCTGGTATCTCAAACACAATCTTCCCATCAAGGTCTCGCTGGGTTTGGGTGAAGAAGAAAATTGCACTGGCACCGGCGAAGTTGAGGATAAGTCCCAGCATGATAAACACATGGTAGGTGACATGCACTCGGGACAATTTCGTCTTCTTCTTCAGCTCCGCAATGCTTTCCTTGCTGCAGTATCTGGCCAGCGAGATGATGATTCGGAGGATGATTCCGAGTATGATAACGCTGGCTTTTGTCAACTGAAATACGCTGATGGGATCTTCCCGACACAGTGCAATGAAAACGTTGATGCCTATCTGCGGAATGTCTTCCATCCAAATAATGATCATAGTCACAAGGTCGACATTGAACCATGGCTTACCGGTAAAGATTTCCTTACCGAGATTACAGACTTCAAATATGAATGTGATGGTGCCTATTATTGAAAAAAACAGTAAGGCAATGACGGCTCCTTGATCAGGCAGTCCGTACACAAGTCCTTGTTCAGCGATGCTGACATCAGCATAAAATAGCCAATCACTCAGCAGGTCGGCAATGTCAAGGCCAAGGATGATCATGAACACAATCACTTGAAGATATCGATGGCGGCGTATCTTCTCTTCCAGTATTTGTTTCAACCCATCAATGTCATCAGCATCAAGTTGGTCTTCACTGACCTTTTGACCTTTTTCTTTCACGCCTAGGGTCTGTTTTGGTTTGTCGGGCATCTTGCTGATTGATGTCTGCACTGCCCTTGAGTTACCTGAAAAACATTTTTGATTACCATAATTATACCGACATGTATTTGTTCTCAATGGAGTTTTGGGTCTAGAATTGCTCTCTCTGAACATGTGCTGGTCATCAGATGCAACTGACTGTATTGGGTGCACATGGTCAGACTCAGTGATTGATTATTTCAAGGCTGCCAACATAAAGTTTGTTTATTGCTGAGGAGCTGAGTGGCCCAGCAGTCTAAGGCACCATGATTCGCACCATACTGTCACACCATTTGTTAGCACCATACCGGTGCTCGTGGGTTTCATCGGTTTTTCCTCCACATTAAGCTGACACGCCGTGATATAACTGGAATACTGTTCGAGCGGCGTTAAACCCAACTCACTCACTCACTGTATCAATACTCATCATCCATTCACTAATTGTATTCATCAACTGTGTCTAGAATTATACAGTATTGTTGAAACAAATCATGAATTGCTGTTGTCTTGAAATAATGACTCGTGACATAAAAAAATGATTTTTATTTTTTATTTTTTTTATTTCAAAGAAGGCAAATTGATTTCTGTTTTAGATCAAGAAAGCAATTTGATAACAAACTGTGTCTTGAACAAGAATGGCAATACATGTCATACTGTGACTTACAATTATTGTTTAAGCTAGCTGGGCCCTGTATCAAGTCACCAGTGTTTAAAGTGGACGCTTATCAACAAATAAATGTACTTGTGATGTTGATAAATACTTTTATCTGTTGATTACCATCACCAGTCTGACATGACTCAGATCTGATCACATACTATTTTGGGATGGTTACGAAATTCATTTACAGTAAAAATATTAAATATGTTTCAACTGATTTTAATTTAACCAACTCTTAAAGGTGTAATGAATAGATTGAGCAAGCAAGTATTTAAAACATATGGTATGTGACCATTGTGAAGTTACCTCCCTTGTGTTCACAACTGAACTAATTCAGTTAAAAATAGGTGTTGACCCGTGAAGATCTGGGGTAGAATAGGTCTTGAGCAACCCATTCTTGCCGTAGAAACGGGATCGGATGATCAGACTTGCTGACTTAGTTGAAGCATGTCATCTATCCCAATTGCGTGGATCAATGCTCATGATATCAGTCACTGGATTGTCTGGCCCAGACTCGATTATTTACAGACCCCCTTCATATAGCTGGAATATTGCTGAGTGCGGCATTAAACAACAAACCAACCAACCAACCAATCGAAACAGGTGTTGTAGCAATTGGAGCAAGGTGTGGAGTCATCCCACAGATGACATCCTCACATTGTCAGCATGCTGATGGGTTTATACCTGTAAAGATCTGGGTTAGAATAGGTCTTCAGCAACTCATGCTTACTGTAAAAGGCGACTATGTTTGATGTAAAAGGTGACTAACAGGGTAGGTATTAGGAGAAAAGGTACAGGTAATTGACGTGAGGATTGTGAGAATATGTGAGAAATACCAAACTTAACCCACCTGTTCATAAAATGGACTTGTCCAACATAGCCGAGGTTGTTTTTTTATTCAGAGAGTCATTATTAAAATGAAAGTAACAATTTTTATAGTTTGCACATTTTATCAACATTAAAGAAGCTGTACGTAATTTTGATATCTCATAATAGAAATATACCATTCCTGGTTGTTGTTTATCATACAATAAAACACTGCAGAGATAATAAACCACTCGGGGGCTGTGCCAATCATGGTTTATTCTCCCAGTGTTTTATTGTATGCCTTGAGTGGTTTATTCTCTCTTCAGTGTTTTATTGTACGATGAACAACTCCCACTCGTTGTTTGATTCTTAAATAAGATCTGTAAAGACACAAAAAATATAGAAATACAGACACCCTAGCTACAAAGGCAACCATTGGTAATAATGCCCTGTGTCTTTTTGCATGTGTATTTGTAAGCAAGCACCTGAAAATTGAAGGGAAAATGGTAATTTATATTGCATGTTCCCACAAATACACAGCTTGTCCAGAGCTCTGCATACTTACGCTAGTAAGTACATACCTGTTAATTCACCACTGTACACAATACAGATTCAGTTGACCTCTTTTGAGGTCAAGCTGTATTATAACATTGTTTCACTTGTAGTAAGAGGATTACTAGTGGTTTATCCCACACTAGGGCGTTACAGTGTGATAGAGTCTATTGTTACAGTTTAGTATAGTTATCTTAGGTCACCTTATCAGGCGTGTAGTGAAACATGTCTGTTTTTTTTGCTCCATGTAGTGCAACACATTGGATATAGTATGTTGTGTTATAGAATAGGTAGAGGTTGTTGAAGAAGAATAATAGTTTTGAAGGAACCATTTAATTAATTTGAGTTCTATTACCTGTAAATTTGACAAAAAAATATTTGAAACTTCACTATGCAGTTTGTTCATGTTGGGTAATTTTGCATTAAGCTTTGAAACCCTTAAACTAGAAAATGCTGATGTGACGTTAAATTTAACTCACTCACTCACTCACTCACTAGAAACACAGTATATGTTTTTCTCTTAAACAAATCCAGTTAATGAAATGTTAACATACTGGTAAATGTATGGCTCTGAAATCTGAATGTGATTGTGTACTACAGTGCCTAGGCTCAATGTTTTCTAAAGAATGAAATGACATGTAATTTTTGACAGTAGTGATACCCTTATTTTGTGTGAAGCCTGATAAGATCCATGGAGGTATTATGGGAGGGGATGTAGAGTAAGGATCCATTTTGGCCACTAACAATATAAAAATAGAGGGTTCATTCAATAAAAAATGAGATTTAATCAAACAATAATTAATCAAATGTCTGGCATCTTTTATTTCCTTCTCTTCAAAACTTGTCAGTTTTGGACTTACAACTCCATGACTCGAAACTTGTTTCTCCAAATTGTTGCAACCTACTTTTATAAAAATCAAAGACTTGCCTATGTTCAAATACCTATAATGAAATAGTTGAAGTATTTTCCAAAGCCTTACCTCTGGAATAGATGCTATCCAAATGTTGGAAGTGTTTATGTGAACACTTTCTATTAACTTCTGTACAGTGTGTCACTGAGGCGTGTTTTGGTGCTGCTAGGCTATCTGATAAGGGATCTTATCGTTTCAGTGTGATTTTACTTAGAAATATTTATGAGGTGATTTCAATCTGTCATCTACCAAGACTAACATTCCTATATATGAGGGGAGTTATTCGGTGATTCTTGTCCACTTTATCACAGGTCATTGTGGTAGAAAGTCAAACAAGACTGTTGCTAGGCGTTGTTGGGAGGGGTGACAAGCCAAGCTGCCATGACCCAGTATTATTTATATACAGAGTCATTAATCCAGTATTTGTACTGGCGCAAATGGTATTTTCCTCAAACGAAAACAGCTGTACTTCTTTCTTGTTCAAGTACAATATTAGAGAATTTGGTCGAATGTGCAGCTCCAGTGAGATCTTGAACTCGTTAAGACATGTTAAGACAATGTTACTTTGTGGTTGGAACAGAATCTTTGCCGATGACATGGTCTAACATTGTCTAGTTACTTGCCTGGAACTATGTCGATAACATGGTCTTACGTTGTCTAGTTTTGTTTTGTTGTTTTTTTTTACTTACCTTGAACAATGTCAATAACATGGTCTGATGATGTCTAGTTACTTGCCTGGAACTATGTCGATAACATGGTCTAACATTGCCTAGTTACTTGCCTGGAACTATGTCGATAACATGGTCTAACATTGTCTAGTTACTTGCCTTGAACTATGTCGATAACATGGTCTAACATTGTCTGGTTACTTACCTTGAACTATGTTGATAACATGGTCTATCGTTGTCTAGTTACTTACCTTGAACAATGTCGATAACATGGTCTAACATTGTCTGGTTACTTACCTTGAACTATGTCGATAACATGGTCTAACATTGCCTAGTTACTTGCCTGGAACTATGTCGATAACATGGTCTAACATTGCCTAGTTACTTGCCTGGAACTATGTCGATAACATGGTCTAACATTGTCTAGTTACCTTCCTGGAACTATGTCGATAACGTGGTCTAACATTGCCTAGTTACTTTCCTGGATCTGAACATGATAAATGTATGATAGATATCGCCAAAAAAGGTACACTATAGCTCATTATGGATGGCTATGTCCTTGATAATATGGACGAAATATGGACATCTGTTGTGGAAGTATAAGTAGCTATATACTGATATCTTATCCCAATTATGTAGATTGATTCTCATGATGTCAGTCACTGGATTGTGTGGTCCAGCCTGGACTGTTTACAGACTGCCGTCATATAGCTGGAATATTGCTGAGTGCGGCGCTAAACATAATCTCAGGAACACATTCTGTTACTTTATTAACCCGGTAATGGTCGGTTAGATTTCCTTGTTCAACAATTGTGGGTGGAAACATACAAAGTTGTAACACATACAATGTGGTGATGAAACCTACTTGGAGATACACCTGAAGTTACCTACAAAATCATCACTTTATGATTTTATTGAAGCAATAGTTGAGTTCAGTGAAAGTAGAGTATGACATTCAGTGTTGTTTTATTGCTATTGGAGTGTTGAGGCTATCGGTTCAAGAAGTTATTGCACACTAGCAGGTTAATCAAACTATAAACACTTACCGTTGGGTGAAGGTACACACGGCTCCGCTGACCGCGTAATGCCACTATTCACAACAATCACATAACAGCTTCGTAACAGCCTCAAATACCCTCTCCTTTCACCCTAGTGCAGGACAAAGTCAGTGGTCCAGCGTCACAGTGTGAGTGTTTTTGTTTGGGTCACTCACAGTAAAGTAAACAATGCGAGATTTGCACGTTGTGGAATGAGCTGCTGTATGCTTCGGAAGTACTCCCGTCATCTGAGCATGCTTATATAATACTGAACCAGCTTCGTCTTCCAGCATGGCGCTATTCATAGTTCTGATTCGGGTCATGTTTGTTTTCAAATCACCTGTTATCAGGACTGATAAAGTGGATCGAACAGACGTGACCACTAAGCTGGGCACTTGAATTATGGGAAGGCTTTATTGGATCTTTTCAAGTCTTACTTACGTGAAACTTTGAATAATGGAAAACTTTGTCAGTTTTGGTACTTTCTGAAAAAATGTCACGTCAGTGAAATGTTATACAGTTTATTACTTTTTTTTAAGTAAAAAAGATTTAAAATATAGTTATCACACCCAGATGGCGTGGATGTTCACGACATCAATCACCAGTTTGTCTAATCCAGACTTAATTATTTACATGCTGCTGCCATCGAGGTGTGAACAATTGATTTGTCTGTCTCCATCCCAGTTACTTACATGTGCTGTGTTCCAGCCGACTGTAGAGAATATACACAATATATGCTCAAATGGAAAACCAGGCTGTTAATTGTTACTCCTTCAGATATGTCACCATGATGACTGTGTTAGAAATAAATGCCCGCTTGCTTGCACGTGACTAGCGACAGTTTCAAAGGGCAAATGGGTGAGTGAGTTGGGTTTAACACAGCTTTGAACAGTATTCCAGTTATATCACGGCGTGTCAGCTTAATGTGGGAGGAAAGCCAGAAGTGATGAAGGTCTCAGACGTTTACCACTTCGATGAAACTCACAAACACGGGTATGGTGCTCACAAAACCTAGAAACATAATTGGGGCGAACCGGGATGCAAACCAATGATCATAGGCTTCTGGCATGCCCAAGGGACACAACTCTGCACAGCGAATTGTGGCGTCTTAGACGTCTGGGCTACCATGACCCAATTATACACTTGACATATTATAAGAATCAGTTTTGAGTATTATGGAATCATAAAAACATCCTTATCAAAAGAGGAGTAGTATAGAACGTTGTGATAGCAGGTCGATTGAAGAATATCGTTCATTTATCTCCAAAAGGTTAAATTCTCCTGCCTTATCTAAAAGCCATGAAAAAACAAATAGTAAATTAATAACAAGCTATAGTGAAATGAGGTAGGTCAGGTCACCGCCGAAATTTCCAAGGCTGTTACACAAGCGCAATCCTTTGGACCTAAATGATCACTGGTATGTAATCATGACTGTTGTTACTCTACTGGACATTTTCACAATGTGATTGAAAGGTGTTTATCTTGTAATTATAAGATTATTTTACAAGGTTACCAAGAACATGGTTGTGGGGCACGGGTGGCCCAGTCATCTGAGGCGCGGCGATTTGCTGCGCACAGAGTTGCGTCCCTTGGGCACACCAGAAACCTATGATTGTGGGTCCAAATCCTGGTTCGCCCTGATTATGTTTCTAGGTTTGTCAGCACCATGCTTGTGGCTTTTCACCGAAGTGGTAAACGTCTGAGGCCTGCATCACTTCGGGCTTTCCTCCCACATTATGCTGACAAGCTGTGATATGACTGGAATACTGTTCAAAGCAGCATTAAACCTATATCACTCACTCACTCATACATGGTTGGCGACTGTCACAACTGCTTGATACACTTGTGTAAACAAACTGACCACACATCTCACAGAACTTAGTGAGAAGAACTAAATCTAGCTCTGTAAATATTACATATGTTATTAGTGGGATCTTCATTGTGTATGTCATTGTGTCCGGCAGTGAAATTGTTGTGACAGTATACTCCAATATGTCCAGATAAAACTGTGTCAGTGTATTAATGCCCGCAGGAGACGCTCCCTTTTTTCACCTTAATTTCATGATTTATTGTATGAGAAAATAATCAAAGAGGTCCGTAGATTGTCTGTATTGTGTTCTCACCTTATCATCAGTCATAGTTGACAAGGTCGTTCAGATACCGTCATTTTCATAAGGTACAGGATTTGCCCCATATATTGTTTTCTGTTATGTTTGGTGGTCTTTTGTCCAAAAGTCCATTCAAGCATTGTTATTTTTAGATGTAAATTTCCAGTTGTATATATACTTTTGTTTTTTTTATTTAATATTTGTACGATATATTTTCAAATATATAATAGATTTTAGGGTAGGTTGTGGAAGCTTCAACTGCACAAAATTATGAACAGAGGTAAATTTTGTAGGTATATTTCAAATTTGTAAAATTCAGATGGGTTTTACAGCAAATATCATAATTCAGGTGTCTATTGGTACATGGCACAGTTTAGGAGTAACAAAAATATTTTAAAAATTGTTTTGAGAGAATTATTTTTTTAGGCTCTGTTCATGTTCTGATACTCTTCAAATTTATCCTGTAGTCCAAGGGTTAATATCAGCTGCTTCATCATCAACTAATTACAGCGTGTGCTGAAACTGATTAGGTTTTCCCTGTGCTAAGTTGGGCTCTGACGATATATACAGTAACCCGTTATCTGATATGAGGTCTCTTGTCTGTCATATTCATTTGTTCGTCACGATATGGCTGAAATACTGCCGATGTGACGTTAAATCTTAACTCACTCACATAATCATTTGTATGTTTAGCATCACATGAGCAACATTAACTGCTCTCACAAACAAGAGGGCACGGGTGGCCCAGTCATCTAAGGCGACACGATTCGCTGTGCAGAGTTGCGTCTCTTGGCTACGCAAGATACCTATGATTGTGGGTTCAAATCCCAGTTCACCCCGATTATGTTTCTAGGTTTGTCAGCACCATACCCGTGTTCACCGAAGTGGTACACGTCTGAGACCTGCATCATTTCCCCAACATTAAGCTGACACACCGTGATTTAACTGGAATACTGTTAAAAGCCTCTTTTAAACCCACTCGCTCACTCACTCACTCAAACAAACAAACACTTTTGCCACAACATTTCTTCACACATCTTTCACCATTTAAAAATATTTTTATAATTGTTGAATTTCTGGATCATAAACCGGTTGTTTTGATGCTAATGGACGGTGCCAAAACAGTGCTGGCAAATGGAGGGCAAAATAGTAGTTCTAGGGTTCTGCGGACTAAACTTATTTTGAAGTTTTTGTGAAATTCAGTCTTGGAAAGCAAGTGTAGAGTGCAGTCAGAGATGTCCCCGATTATCCTGGGTATCATATCTCCATTCTAGTAGACCCGTGAAGATCCGGGGTAGAATATATGTTCAGCAACCCATGCTTGCCGTAAAAGGAGACTATAGACACTTTCATACATGGTTGGGGGGCATGGGTAGCCTAGTCGTCTAAGGGGCTGCGATTTGCTGTGCAGAGAGTTGCATCCCTTGGGCATGCCAGAAACCTATGATTGTGAGTTCGAATCCTGGTTCGCCCCGATTATGTTTCTAGGTTTGTCAGCACCATACCCGTGCTCGTGGGTTTCACTAAAGTGGTAAGGTTGCAAATTTGAATGTCCTTCTATGAGGCAATCACGTCAGAAGAGGAATTTTGATTTGTTGTTAATTTTAAGCTAATGAGTGAAATTCTGTACTTAGATTGTGATAAGTGAGATGGAGCTGGTGATGTCACTTCCAAACCAAAGCTAAACGATGGTTCAGGCTGTATTGTTTAATAGATGGAGATGAATCATTCCAGATTTTATTACTCGCCCGTGAAAAGATCACCTATTTTATAAACTTACAGCTATAACACATCGTGTAATACCAAAACACATGCTTATGTTCTGAGGGAACAAGTTTCACTAACCAATATTGAATACTCCCAACATCCCTGGGCTATTCATCAGCATTGTGTGTAGCGATGACAGATCACTGAGAGGAGCTTATGCACACTCGCTGACCCAAGTAACACTGTTGTTTGGCTGACGTCTCATGGCATTGTTTTGCTAGAGGATCTTGCAACAAAATTCCACCAATTACGTCATATGGTATTGTGACGTGATTGTAAACTTTATGGTGCAGGGCTCTGTTCCAAAAGGTGTTCGTAGTGCAACGACAGTCGTAAGTCTATGTTAAAGTATGGGAGTTACGATAACTTCAGCGCTATGATAGCTTTGTGGAACGGCCCCCCTGAATTCTAAAGGTTGACTGTTGTATGGTATTAAATTAATAAGTATTAACTTTGGACGAGTTTGAAGTATTATTCTGTTAAACTCAATTGGAGTAAGCTGTGGATCGCGTAGATGTCTGCCTATTCACACACGATAGTGAAATTTAAAAAAATAAATTATAAACGGCAAGCAATAAATCAAATACTAAACTTGCTCTTGTGTAATACCAATTTTATGAAACTGATGAACAGTTCTGGTATCTGATCAGTGAAAGCGAGTCAGATTATTCACTCAACTATTCACTCATTTCATAAAATCGGTTTTACATGGGAGCAACTTTAGTATTCTGTTTGTATACACTGGATAATCAAAGAGGGTCAGAGGTGAAACCTAAAGATATATTCCCCAGCTTTGCAAGGGATATTCCTGTTATTGACCAGCCACAGTGACAGGTGTTATGGAGCTGTATATACGCCCTCATTGAGTGGTCTATCCTGACATAAATTGTACCTACCTACTGTTTGCTTGCAGTATTGACACAATGGATTATATTTCACCCTGCTCCAGATAGGTGGAGAGCTGAGTGTCCCCATGTACCATCTGTTTCACAGCTATTAATACATGTAGTTCAGCTCTCATCTAATGTTACTCAACTAAATTTTAATCATAAGCCTTCCTAATGTCTTATAAATACAATTAACACTTTGGTATTACTTAAACAGTTAACTTTATTCTTAACTGCAGCAACAATTTGTCACTTTGTTTCACCAAGCTACAGTTGAGCTGTGACTGTCGTTAGTTTATGTTAATGTATTGAAGTTACGATCATCTTAGAGCTATGACTGTCATAATTCTGTGTTAAAATATTGAAGTTAAGATCATCTTAGAGCTATGACTGTCGTAATTCTATGATAAATTATTGAAGTTACAATCATCTTAGAGCTATGACTGTTGAAAGTCTATGATAAAGTATTGAAGTTACGATCATCTTAGAGCTATGACTGTTGAAAGTCTATGATAAAGTATTGAAGTTACGATCATCTTAGAGCTATGACTGATGAAAGTCT